CTTCTCACAAAATTATTTTCCATTTTTCTATGGAATGTTCCAACAGCTAACAGTGTCTAAAGTGCTGCCGAGCTCAAGCATTTGTCCTTTAGAAGGATCGGTAATGTTTAGGGAAAGATTTATGGGCTTAAGCCTGGAACTGAATGCCTGCTCACTGTAACAAATCTGTACCTGTTCATACTAAACTTACTGATGAATTATTGAGCTTTTGCTTAGGGGTTTTTCTGAATAATCTTTTCTAAGGCACTGTTCCCTTGCCTTTTTTGTACCAGTGTTTCAGAAAATAGTGGACTCGATTCCTCTGCTTCCACTAAATCCAGTTGTGACAAAATCTTATTTGTGACGTATGTTCTAAAGGTTATAGAAATAGGGGCGCCTGGGTGGCTCAGTCGGTTGAGCATCCGAGTCTTGATTTCGGCTCAGGTCGTGATCTCAGGGTCATGAGATCGAGCCCCACGTCAGGCTCCGTGCTCAGCGGGGACTCTGCCGGAGATTCTCTCTCCCTCTTCCCTCTGCCACTCCCCTCCTCTGAAAAATATAAATTAAATAAAATGTATTTAGTTTTTTTAAAAAAAATAAAGGTTACAGAAATAAAATAATGAAACCTAGTAAAACACCGTAGGAGTGTATTATAACATATTTAACTAGTTCCTAGTCCCAATATTTCATTGCTACATTTTTAATAGTGTCGTATGCACACATGTAAGTATATCTCTGAGAAAAACAGCTACAGTAGGGTGACCCTTATGTGGCCAAGGGTGGTGTACATGTTTTGCATTTTGAGAGGTGAAGTTCTTCAAGGTTGTACCAGTGTTCAACTCCCCGCAGCTGTTTCTGGGAGTGTCTGTTTCCCAGACTTTCCCCAGCGTGGATTTTGCCGAATGGTTTCACTTCAGCTAGTGTGGCCGGTGGAAAAGCGCTTCTTCCCCGAACCCTGCCTCTCTCTGACCCCACAGCGCGTCTCAGACGGTGAAGGAGCGCCCATACCTTGGGTTGTGGTGACCAGGATGCCCAGATGAAATCGCCTTCTTAGCCCTCCTGCAGCCCCCGTGTATTTAGCAAGCGGCATTCCTGTGATCCTTTTGAAGGACTGGATATACTTTGAAACAAAAACGATCACCTTTTCATGAAGCCACACCGATGCACGCCGGCGGCTTTAGCAAGCTCCTTGTCAGGATGGCCTTCTGGTGCTGACGCCGGGGGTCGTACCTGTGGACTGGAGCTTCCGCTATTTCAGGACACTCTCACTGGGGGAATGTGGCTGATTTTCAATAAGGTTTAACCCTTGCTCCATTTTTCTCTGTGCTCCTGAGAGCCCTCTTCGTAGTCTGGGGTGGGGGCGGGGGTGGGGGGCAGAAGTGCCCATTTGCAGTTGTCGAGACAGGATTCAGAGGGTTTTCGAAGAGGTTTTTTTTTTTTTTTTTTAGCCTCGGCAGAGATTTTCTTCCCATGAATACAAATGTAATATAAATAGTCTGCGCGATGCTTTTAAAAAACATTTATAAGAACCTGGCTTAAAATTCCTCAGTCTGCCTTTTCTCAGGCTGCTCTCCGCCTGAACAGCCCAGAGAAGAATAGAAACTAAAAAAGCTAAGCTGGTCTCGCTTTTGTGGCCCTGCTGGCCCAGTTGAACAAGGTGACTTAGAAATGAATCCCTCTGTGCCTCTCTGCCAGGTCTCCTGGCTCCTCAGCCTCTTACCCCGAAGTGGAGCTGAAGGAATCTGCTCTGTTGAAAGAGACATTTCTGCCTCCGTGCGGTATGGGATCAGCACAGTAAGGACTAAGAAACAGTCCTGGCCCAGGTTCAAGAGCATGGGGAAGTGGAGAACCGTTTGGGAGCTGAACAGGAAGCAGTCTCAGTTGGAGAAAAGTCGCAGAGCTCAGTGATGCCTTCATGAGAATTGGAGCCCTTCAGCTTTGCTCCCCGCCCCCCTCCTCCCCCCCACCCCCAGCCTGCAGGCACCACGCCAGCGTCCGGGTGTGACATCTGCAGCTGGCCTCTCACATTAAAGACCGTCGTGCGGGATGCCGAGCAGAAACTGGGGCATCAGCCGACAGTGGATAGTTTTCAGATAGGGGGTTAAGAGGCCGTAAAGGACGACCACCACGTTTGACCTCGACCACCGTGTTCAGGGTGAACAGACTCCCCTCCCCTGAAATCAACGCGAGTGGCAAGGAGCTTTGCCGTAGAGCGACATTCTGGAAACAGCCACTGAGGCAGACGGGTTTTTGCGCGTGGAATGGAAGCCCTTTCTGTTAAGCCTTTCAGGCAGGTGTTCAGAGGAGCCCCAGAAGGCACAGGGCGCGCCGTGAGGACGCAGGGCAGTCCCTGGGCCCTGCCAGCAAGAGGCCTCAAATCTGGCCTGACATGCAAAATGTCTAGAGGGCCAGTTGGGAGAGGTGAATGTTGTGTGATGGATGTCCCTTGGTCATGGCAACCAGCAGGCTGGAAGCAGAGAAACCAGCCATAACAGAAAGTCAGAAATAGAACAACGACAGAATCATTTGTGAGGTATGGGGAGCAGGTAGGGGCTCAAGACTGTGCGTTCTTTTGTAGAGATGACAAACTGAGGGACGGTAGGAGCAGCCCCCACATGAACTTGGGGGGCCAACCGAAGCAGTTCTTAGAGAACATACAGCTCATGGGAGCAGTAGGGAAAAAGGCCCCAGAGCTTTTGAGGTCACTCTCCCCCCATGACTGAGACCAGGCTTGACGGGAGAGGGCTCGTCACGGCTGCAGAGAGATTATGGGAACAGTAAGCCAAAAAGACTAAAACCAAGATAATGTTTTTAAAAATAGGACTTCCGAGACTCTTAACTCTGGGAAACAAACTGAGGGCTGCTGGGTGGGTGGGGAGGTGGGTGGGGGGCTGGGGTAACGGAGGGATGGGCACGAAGGAGGGCACGGGATGGGGTGAGCACTGGGTGTGATACGCAACTGATAGTGTAGTGAACACTACACCTGAAACTAGTGATGTACTATCAGTTGGCTAATTGAATTTAAATTAAAAAACCAAAACAGACAAAAATAGGACTCCTTTCATACAGCCCAGAGCTGGCATATGTTGAATATTCGGATTTTAAGAGCAATAAAAGCAGATGCTGTTTCTTGCTCTAATAAAGGGTATCACCAACAGGGATGTAATAAAGGAAAATAATACATTTTTCAGGTTCTGCAAACAACTGTTGCCTTTCTGTGCACTCTGCCCCCCTCCCCCCGCCTCCCCCAGCTAGGGATGGCAAGGGGGACTGTTTTGCAAAGAAGAGAGATGGTTGGCTGAAAAGAAACACACACAAACACACCCTGCCAAAGAACAACAGAATTCCTAGCATTATTGAATGCCTTTTAAATTTATTTTTGTTCTATTTTTATTTCTCAGCAAAGGGAAAGTGAAATAGTTTCGAGCTCCAGAGAAATTCATGCCCTGGTCCTAAATATGGCAATCTCTGGCGGTCCTGCGGGCCCGGGAGAGGACTGGTTTACCCGCTCCGACCTCCCGTGCCAAAATGAACCTGCTCTCAGCTGCTGTGCCATTTGCTTTTTAAAGATGTATTTATTTATTTGGGAGAGAGAATGAGCGAATGAGCCGGGGTGGGGGGTGCAGAGAGAGAGAGGGAGAGAATCTCGAGCAGACTTCCCAGCTGAGTGCAGAGACCCACCCCAGTGACCCCCTCCACTCCCCCAACCTTCATCCACTCCATTAACCAATAGCCCCTGTGGGGGCCAGAGGGCTGCCTGAATGACAGATCCAAGCTCCGGCACTTCCTAGCCCCGAGCCCCCACGTTATAACCGGGGCTGCCCCCACTTGGTAGATGACAAACATCTGCAGGTGGGCGATCAAATGCATATTATAAGATACTGACTCAGTTCCTTTATTTGAGTCAGGAACGACTTTACTCACAAAAGCAATTATGTATGCCAATTAAAATTATACCTCGGAGCAGCTCAATGAAAGGAAAAAACAAAAGCCAACTAAGCAGACTCAGCTGTTCCCAAGTTTCATAAATACTGTTTTGGAGCATATTCATTTTGTTCTCGAGTGAGCTCAGAAACTTGGGATGTTTTTCGCTGGGGGAGGGCATGATCAAACTGGAAGCATGTTATTATTTTATCCTGTCCTGTTGAGGAAATATAATGGCCATTTCATTTTGGCCCTGGCTGACTCTGGGGCTTGACCAATGAATGACTCGCATGGGTTGAGGTTTTCCTTGGATTTCTGGAGCAGAGAAGTGAGTCCTTTTCTCTCCCTGTGAGCGGCGAGGGGGTGGGGGGCAGCTCAGCTCCGCCTGGGCTGCCCAGGTCCCAGCAAGTGGCTTCTCCCCTAGTTTCTCCCCCTGCTCCCAGGCAAGAGTTCTGTTTGTGGGTTTTTTTCTTTAACTCCGTTTTCACCTGAAGTGAGAGTTGTTTTAAGTAGTAAGTATGACTAGTGCAAATGTACCAGTAACCCCCCCCACACTTAATTTTTCACACGGAAAGTCTGGAAATAATTTATAACATTTATGCTATTTAAGTACATTTCTAGGCAATTTGGGGGGTGCGGTTGCATGAGCTAACTAAATGTTTCCTATGACATTTCGCTTGAGAGTCACAGTGAGGGAATGCTCGCACTTTGACATTTCTGGGTTTTCAAGTAGTAGTTTCACATTATCCCCAAGCAGCTCCCTTAAAAAAGAAAAAAAAAAACAACCACCCAACAACTTGATGGCCCCATTGTCGTAAACACTGTCAGTCATTTCCGTCTGCCTTAGCACCGCGTTTCACCGATTTGAGGTGAAAACAGGAAGGTTAAGAAAGCTTCGCGGGGGTTAACAGATGATCTTGGGCAGGAACCTCATCCCCAGAGGGTGGGGCCGGGGGAGGATGTTGGGAGAAGCCCCCGCGAGGAGCCGTGGCCGCCGAAGAGGAGGCTAACGCCCGTGCTCGGCCCACTTGTCCTGGACTGGGTCCAGGAGGAAGGCCCTTACAATGGGCTGGAGAGTAATTCGCCCGTGGTAAGGGGCCCGGCTGAATACCCGGAAATCTCAGCCCAAGCCCCAGGGCCCAGCCCCGGCTCGGAGCATCTGCGAAGCGGCTTTCGGTCGTCCACGCCGGCTGCCTCACCTGGCACACGTGTGTGGACAGCGACGGGGGCCGGGGGGCGGGGGGCCGGGGGGGGGGAACCTCCGGAGGCGACGCTGAGAAGCACTTGGAAGAAGGGCGGCTGAAAATCTCCAAGTGCAATTGGAGGAGGGAAGTGAGGTGTCCGTGTAAAGCTGGCAGATGCCCTCGGAGGGGCTGGGGCGGGGGGCGGGCCGGGTTCCTGCCTCCCAACCCGGTGAGGGAGGCCGCCGAGAGCGGCGGGGCTGCGCGTTCCTCTGGGCGACTCGAATGTTCTTAAACTTGAAGGCCAGCAGGAAGGCGATTCTTCCTCCTCCCCCATCCCGGCCTCGAAGGTCGACAAAAGTGTGATTAAAATGCTACGAGTGTCTTCCCGAGTTACTGCACCGTAGCGCCCGGAGCCTCCGCCGAGCCAGCTGCCTGCGGGGCGCAGTGGGGCTCCGCTCCCTTGGAGGGCAGCCAGGCTCTCGGTGGTCGGGCAGCCCGCCGCCTTTAGGGCCCAGCTGGTCATTTAAAGACCAGGGGAACTGTAGCAAAGGAGGTCAGATACACCCAGGTCTTTGGAGTATGACTTTGAATCTTTAAGTACATGATCGGTTTTGTTGTTGTTGTTGTTTTAAAGTGCAAGCGAATTTGTGAATTGAGTATTAAGGAAAGACTTCGCACGTCAATGCCACCTATTTTGAAAACAACCCTTTTCGTGTGCTTCACCAAACAGTGATCTACTGAAATCTCTATAGAATTCTGTAAACTGATTGCACTAAGACTGTTTTATTATCTGTTTTCTGTTATCGTACAGGATAGGTCTTTTTATTTTTTTTTAAAGATTTTTATTTTCTTATGAGAGAGAGAGCACAAGCAGGAGGAGGGACAGAGGGAAAGGGAGAAGCAGACTCCCACCTGAGCAGGGAGCCCAGACGTGGGGCTTGATCCCAGGACCCTGGGATCATGACCTGAGCGGAAGGCAGATGCTTACTTAACCCACTGAGGACCCGGGCGCCCTTAATCTTGAGATTCTTAAAGATTCTCAGTAGTGTGTAGGGTAAGCCTCCTTCCTTGTCTTGGCTGTTATAAATAATGCTGCAATGAACATGGAGATGCATATATCTTTTTGAGTTAGTATTTTCATTTTCTTTGGATAAATACCCAGAAATGGAATTGCTGGATCTCCTGCTTCTCCCTCTCCCTCTCCCTCTGCCTGCTGCTCTGCCTACTTGTGCTCTGTCAAATAATTAAAAATTTAAAAAAATCTTTAAAAAAGAATATCCAGAAGGGTCTACACTCATTTCAGGTGCTGGAGGCAGTAGCAAACATTTTTATTTTCCCCAGATTCTGGGTAAATGGGAATTGTTTCAACCAAGAAGTTTAGTAGCTTCAAATTTAATTCTTCATTGTCAAACGCCCAGCAGCTGAAAAAAAAGGGGGGGGAGCAATGCTAGGTACTTGGTCACTGTAGCTTGCTGGTAAACCAAGGGTCTGGTTTTTAAATTTGCCCACAAAGTTGAATACTTCATAGCTTCAAATGAACAGGGCCCCAAAGTAGTACGAAGAGTGAGATCTGGAGTGAATTAAAATTTTAATCCTGTATCTAAGATACTGGGGCTTAAGAATTTGGGGGAACATCACATTAAGAATTCATGGGTATGCTTATGTTTTAAACACAACCCAAGGGGCACCTGGGCGGCTCAGTCGGTTGAGCATCCAACTCTTGGTTTCCGGCTCAGGTCATGATCTCAGGGCTCTCTCTTTGGGCTCTGCGCTCAGTGGGGAGTCTGTTTAAATTCTCTCTCTCCCTCTCCCACCCCCCCCACTTTTGTGCACGTACTCTCTCTCTCAAAAACAAAAACAAACAAACAGAAAACCAAACAAAAAAAACCAAAACCCACAACCCGAAATAATGGGAAAATGTTAGGAAATTAACTGAGAGGTTTTTTAGGTTCTACTTGGGGGGGTGTAGGCTCCATGGAGGCAGACGTCAGAACTGGAAGGTATATGCTGAGCATCCCCGCCCTGGTTCAGTGACGTTCAGGAACTCTGGGAGGACAGGAACCCATTTCCAGTGTGAAGAAGGAAGGGGCCTTGTCAGGTTGCTGCGGGCACACTGTGGGCTGCCCAGCTTGGATCAGCGGGACTTTAGCACAGTTGTTCACGGACCCCCGAGAGGCAGTCACAGAGTTTTCAGAGCTCCTCTCCTCCCACCTTCACCAGCCGGTGATTTGATTAAAAAAAAAAAAATGAACGTGAGTGAAAAGCAGCTTTCAGGTAGATAAAATGAATTTTTAAAAAGATTTTTAATAAAAGGATTTAGAGAGCACTTTGGGGTCCAGAGGTCGGGCTGGTACTATATCTCCATAAATGGGACATTTGTCAGGACACAGGCTCTGACCAGGCACCATTTCGCACTTGGCGAGCTATTGACAGAAAATCGTCCTGAGTTACTGCCACATTGTTGCTGGTCTTTAAAACAACCCAAATGGAGAGCTGAACACATGGCACAAAGAAACGGTGGCAGAGGACCATTTTTTAAATTCGAAATAATTATTGACTCCTAGGAAGTTGCAAAGACAGTAAAGGGAGGTCCAGAGCATCCTTCACCTAGCTTTTCCCAGAGGTCGCATCTTTCACGTAGGTCACTATCAACACCAGGAAGTTGACCTTGGTACGACCTATAGACCCCAGTTTTCAACGGTTTTTACATGCCCTCATTCTGTGTGTATGTGTGCACACAGACCTGTGGAACCTGATCACGTATAGATATGTGTAAACACTACCACAATCAACATATAGAACTGTTCCACCAGCATAAAGAAAATCTCTTGGGCTACCCCTTTATAATCATAGACCCCACCCCATCCGACCTTTCCTTGGCAAACATTAAGCTCTTCACCATCTCTATAACTGTATAATTTCAAGTTTGTTACATAAATGGAATCATGCAGTATGTGACCTTTTGAGGTCATCTGTTCTCCGCAGAATTCTCTGGAGGGTCACCAGGTTGTCACGTGTATCAATAGTTCATTCCTTTTCATTGCTGAGTAGTACTCCATGGTATGGATGTGCCACAGTTTGTTTAACCGTTAACCCACTGAAGGACATTTGTGTTGCTTCCGGTTTTTAACTATTACAAATAAAGCTGCTGTGAATATTGGTGTATAGATTTTTGTGCGGACATAACATTTCCTTTCTCTGGGATGAACGCCCATGAGTGCAATTGCTAGATCATATGGTAAATATATGTTTAGTTTTTATAATAAACTACCCAACTGTTTTTGAGAGTGGCTGTACCATTTGACATTCCCACCAGCAGTGTATGAGAGATCAAATTTCTGTGCAGCCTCACCAGCATTTGGTATTGTCACTGTGTTGTGTTTTAGCTCTTCTATTAGGTATGTAGTGGTATGTCCTTGTAGTTTTCATTTGCATTTTCCCAATGGCTAGTGATACTGAACATCTTTTTGTCTGCCTATTTGCCATCCCTCTCTCCTTTTGGTGAGATGTTGGTTCAGGTGTTCTGCCCATTTCCTAACTGGATTGTTTGTTTTTTACTCTTGAATTTTGAGAGTTATTTATATATTCTAGATAAAAATCCTTTGGTAGATATGTGGTTGCAAATATTTTCTCCCAGTCTGTGTCTTGTGTTTTCATCCTCTTAACAAGATCTTTTGCAAACCAAAAGTTTGTAAATTTTGATGAGGTCCAACTTAACAATTTTTTCTTTTGTGGACTGTGCATTTTCTGCTGTGTCTCAGAACTCTTTGCCTAACCCGAGGGTCCTGAAGACTATCTCCTGTGTTTTCTGATAAACATTTTGTATGTTTTGTGTTTCCTTATAAATTTTAAGATAAACTTATCTCTATATACATTTAATTCTATGATTCACTTTGTGTTAGTTTTTGTTTAAAGTGTGAGATTTAGGTAAAGGGTTAGTTTTTGCCTGTGGACGTCTTAACTGCTTCAGCACCATTTACTGAAAAGACTGTCATTCCTCCAATACATTGCTTTTTCATTTTTGGTCAAAAATCAGTTAGCCGTACACATAGGTAGGTCTATTTCTGGGCTTTTACTGCTCCATTGATCTATGAGTCTGTCCTTCCACCAATACCACCCTGTTCTGATTAATGTAGTTATATGTATCTTAACACTGAATAGAATGATTATTCCAAATTTATTCTTTTCCAGAAAGGTTTTAAGCTATTCTAGTTTCTTTGCCTTACCATATAAATTTTAGAATACGCTTGTCTATATCTACAAAAAGCATTGATAGACTTTGATAGGAATTTTCTAAAATCTCTGTATAGGTCAATTTGGGGGAGAATTGACATCTTTACTATATAGATCAATTTGAGGGAAAAATGGACATCTTTTACTGTTGAGTCCTCTGATACATGAACATGGTTATGTGTCTCTGTTGATTTAGATCTTGTTTGATTTCTTTTATTGGTGTTTTGTAGTTTTTAGCACATAAGTCCTTTACTTGTTTTGTTAGATTTATATCTAAGTTTTTCATTTCTTTTGAGTGATTGTAAATAGTATGAGTTTTAAAATTCAGTTTTAAAATGTTCATTTCTGGTATATATAAATCATATAGATATTTAATATTGATCTTGCATCCTGCAAACTTGCTGAATTCACTTATTAGTCGTGTGTGTGTGTATTCCCTGGGATTTTCTATGTATATAATCATATCACCTGCAAATAGGGACAGTTTTATTTCTTCCTTTCCTGTAACCATGGCTTTTATTCCCTTTTCTTGCCTTATTTCATTGGCTAGGACTTCTAGTATTATGTTGAATAAGAATGGCAAATACAGAGGTCGTTGCCTTGTTCCTGATCTTGGGGGGTGAGAAGGCATTCAGTCTTTCACCATAAAGAATGAGGTTAGGTGTAGGTTTATGTAGAATTTTTAAAAATCAAGTTGAGGCATTTTCCTTCTATTCCTAGTTTGCTGAGAATTTCTATTCTATATTTCTATAATAGAAATTCTAACATCTGAACAGATGTTAAATGCCTTT